TGAGCTTGTAGCTTAGCAGAAGCAGCTAGCACCGCTGACAAGAGGGCAACGACGTGATGGAAATTGACTCGCTTGAAGAGGCGCTGAGAGGTGAATTGTTCTATTTCGGTTGAAGCGATCTGACTGTCGCTACTTTGCGCCAATAGCTTTATACTATTGAGACGTTATTAAAAATATATTTTGATAGTAGCTCACGAGCTAATGTCGCTAGCTTGCTGCTAGTTAGCCAAAGCTAATATAACAAGGGCTTTTACGGAAACTGTTAGCCTTCTGTTGTACAGTTTGTCCTGGCCTCAACACAAACGAGTTATTAAACTTTAATTATTCGACAGTAACGAGCCAATGTGCCTTTTCTTCTCTTTAAACAGTGCACTCATGGTCTTCATTTACTGGTTTAGCTCTTTGTAGACAAGTGTTTGCCGGTTGTAATGTTGAGGCTAACTTAGCATCCCAGGCTGTATGCTAAACCTGCTTCATTTTTAGCTACTTATCACTATAAACTACACTGATTATATAAATGTACTGGGCAAATCACGTAATTTGACTGTCAATTGAGCACGTGTCGTACAGCACTTGAGCTACATACTTAGTCTGCTGAAGTAGACGCTACTGCAGGAAGTGGACATCCATGTTCAATGGCAGTTATCTTTAGACTGAACAAATCGTGATGTCTCCTTTGGTGTTTTGACTGATTTCTTGGCTGTTTTTTTGTGCTGACGCCCTGCGTCTCGCTTTTTCCAGATTTTGATAAAAAAGCAAAAAAGGAGCCAACCCCTCTTTTGGAGCAGTTTTTATGCCATGTTGCCAAAAGTGGACAGACCATGTAAGTGAACCCTTCTGACCTCTTTGCTGTTTTACCCACACCAAATAATCAGATAACTGATGTTCATTTATGTGCTAGTTTTTATTTTGAAGGTGATAATTGTCTGCGGCTAATGTCAGATGTGGCAACCCCTAAAGGATTTAGCATTTTTGAGGTTTTAAAACTGGTCTAATGTTTTATGTGGCTGATCATACTACAGCTCAGCACACATGCTGACCAGAAAAAAAAGTCTGTTAAAAACTTTTCCTTCAGAATTAAATAGTTGCAGTGAAACTGAAGGATTGCAGTTTTCACTGACAGCAGTGTCAAATGTATTCACAAAGACACAAACATAACAGAAACAACTTCACATTAGGCAACAGCCAGTTTTATGGCTTTATCACCTTTTGTAGAAGGTCAGGTATCACTGACACCATAGACAAAGCTTCAGTTAACCATAGTGTGGCTTGGTTGTAGTAAAACTCAAATGATAAAAGGCCTTTATTTATATAGCACCCAAGGCACTTTACAACACAAGTCATTCACACACACGCTGGTGGTGATGAGCTACATTGTAGCCACAGCTGGCCTGGGGTGCACAGACATGGGCAAAAATAAGATGTTTATACCCAACATCTTTGTGCTACTTAGGTAATTGAGGTTTTGACAAGTTTATTTTCTATGCTTTTCAGGGTTCAGTGGTCTCAGTTCAAGAGCTACTTCTTGTTTAAGTTGGAGAAGGTGATGGATGACTTCAAAGCCTCCGCACCTGAGCAAAGAGGACCTGCAAATCCGAATGTGGAGTCTGTTCCATTTGAGGACATGAAGGAAAGGATCTTAAAGATTGTGGAAGGATACAATGGGTAGGTGCTCGTCTACAGTAGCTAATGCCGCTTACACATTAGCGTCAGGGTTTGGTCGGGCTGAATGGCGTGAGTTTGGTCTCGAACGGGCGGTGTAGTGTTCACATATAAATCCGAGGGACTTCCCAAGAATGCCTGTGGGCGGTGTTTAATACATGGAGGAAAGTTCGCGGTGTCCTCCATTATAAGGTAAACAAAGGCGGACGCTAGCTGTGTTGCTTCTGGAGACTCTGAACCAAATGATTTTATTAATTGGCTGTGTGTGTGTGTCCTCATAATCTTGTGCCACACACACAAATGCACCCACACACTGATTTCTCCCCAGAGCAGCTGTCTGCTCGCCAGGGCAAGAGCTTTGATGCGGAGAATAGGCGTGCACACACACACACATACACACACACACACACAGAGCTATTCTCTTCTCCCATTCCCACTGATCTGCAGCTCTGGAACGGCAGCTACGCGCTACAGGCAGAAGATTACTCAACAGCATCCAGCATGAAAAAGAATCGCGCATGCGGTACCCCCCCCCCCCCCCCCCCCCAACCCCCCCCAGATCAGTCCATAGTGTTGTCACGGTCCCAGTCTGACCGCTGGGGAGAAGGTCTGAGAAAGTCGCCTCTGCACCGAAAACGCAAATCTGACCTGTGTGTGAAACCAAATTCTGGTTCCGTACGCTACCTTTTGGGGCCGTGCCGACGTTAATGTGTGAGCACCTTAAGTGTAGGTCTGCGTAGCACAGGAAGTTGCAGGATTGCTGGAGACTGTAGACTTTGTGCCTTGTAATGGCAACTGTCAGCTATTAGCTTAGCACGCTGTAAAACTTTGATTGGTTAAAAAAAAAATTCAACAGTTTTTTTGCATCAGCATTTCTGTCAAGTGTACTTTTGTCAGATTTGCAACACTACAGTTTTGAAATAAGGTTTGACATTGAATATGTTTATAGGAGCTGCTAAATGTAGCCAGAAGTTTCCATCCACACCTAATCAGCTTTTTGTAACCTTGCCCAATCATATCTCTGTTCTTTTCATTCTCTGGGGTCCAGGGTGCAAATAACTGTTTTTGACAAATTTTGATTTAACTTTTGTATTTCCAAAATAAAACCATCCCCACCGCCTTACATGGTATCAATATTTTCAGCACAACCTGGACTGTGTGAAATGTATACTTATTTTTATATTTAGACTTAATGGGATTCTATCTAGGATCTTAAGTTGCTCCAAAACATAAAATCTGAGCTGGAAAAAGTTTATTGTATAATTGTTTATTTTGTTTATAAATGGGAATACCAATGTAAACTGCTATATTTGTTCATACTTTTTTTTTAAATAAATTTACAAATAACACTTGTATAAAATACCAGCAGGCAAATGAAAGCAAGTTTTTATTGGTTTCTGTACAACTATGTACTCGGGTCGATATTTGAGCAAATATTTACTGTTATTTACATAAGGGAAGAATTTTGTTTTTGTTTTCAAAGACGACAGTTTATTTGTGCCACTCCAAGAATCAGTTTCTGTCCGCCACTAAGCAGAGCGGTGCATAGGCCTGGTGCTACCATGTGACAAAAAACTATTAAAAACATTTTCTAGGAGGAAAGGTGATCTAACTTGACTCCTGGTTTTCTCCATGGCTGGAACCTGCTTACCCCTGGCCCACTGTCGGCATCCTCTTATGTCTTGTGAGGATCACAGCGGGGGCGTGGCTCTGCCTCACTCCGCAGAGATGGAGATGTGACAGCGGTCCAGTGCCGCCCATTCTTGTCTTTCCTTCTCCAAGCTGTTCTTAGCAAACTATTTTAGTATAACTGGTTTTCCTTGGCCTGTTAGCAAAATGTAAAGCTAGAGTGTGGCTTATGATCTTCATCTTAAACGTAAGGTGTGTGTGTGCGTGAATACGCCACACACAGCTCCTGGACCCTACCTTGAAAGAGCTTAATTTAGATTTTGCCATAGTTGTAACAACACAGCAGCAACCAGTCTGACTATAGTGAGTGCATCAGGCTCACAGCTGATAGGATAACGGGCATTCTGCTGCTGCCATGTCAATATAAAAGTATCAAGCTGAAAGTATGTTGGTTTAATTGTGTTTGGGCAGCTAGACAACACGTCTATTCTATAGAGGTGTGACTCTTCACTTGTCTCCTGATTCGATTCAATTATGATTATTGTGTCCATGATTCAATTCGATATCCCGATGCATCGCGATTATTTTATATTGATTTGTTTTCATCGATAAATAGAAGATGTCAGATAATTGCTTTTTATTTTTAATTTTAATAAACATAATTGACACAACCTGCCATCCCTCCAAAGCTCTCCATTCACAACAGGTTAGGACAAAACGTTTACACATTTAAGAAGATTTAACAAAGTAAAACATCTGTTTCCTCGTTCAACACCACGCCTCAGGCTGAGAAAAACACGCTTTGCAAAAACTCTCAAAATGAAAAAAAGTACTGAAACCCTACAGGACACATAATGTAATAATAAAATACATATTGGGTTCATATATGAGTGTTTAATGTCTCTGAGAAGCTTTACCCCGGTTTTCCACCGGAGCCGTCAGCAGCACGAGTCGGCTGCGTCTCAGGAGCAGCATGTCGCGGCCTTTACGCGCCGGTTCTATTTTCTACGCGCGACGCCTCTGAAACAGGTCAAGTTCGACATTTTTGGGGAAGGAAAGACAGGAAATCAGACGCGGAAATGGAGAGAAGCTACCGAGATTTTCAGAATAAAGAACGTACTGCGTTCCGGTTGCTTTACTTTTAAAAACTGTTACTAACTGTGCGTCCCCGTGAGAAGTTATCACCTAGCTAGCGGTCTCCTTTGTTTTTCAGGTCCGTACTGGCGATTATAAAACGGACAGAACATAAAACACAAACCATGTTGTAGTTTTCTCCTGCTTGTTGTTGTGTTTACTGACGAAGTCACTCGTGTGACTTCGTGCTCTGTCGGTGACAGCTGCTCCCCTGCTGCTTCGCGTCTCGTGGGAAGGGCCAAGCAGCAGCTTACGCGAGCAAGACGTGCTGCTGCAGTAACGTGCTGCTAACGGCTTCTGTGGAAAGCCGGGGTTAGAGTCAAATATTTATGCCGCAGTTGAAGGGTGTCAGAAGTAACACCAAATGAAATGTTTCACTTAGTTTGTTATTTTATTTGAACCCAATGGTTCATTTCTGACATGTTGGAGAATGAATCAAGTTCTGTTTGATGCAGAAAATAAAACATAAAACAAATTCTACACTTCCAATAATATTTAAGATGTGTGTTTTATTCTTTCTGGTAATAACACCAGCAGAAGGCTGTGGGCTGGATTAGGATTAAATTACCCAGTTGATGGATCTCCGTCACTAACCAGCTAACTACAAACATTTCCACTAACCTGTCCTGTGTGACCCTCACCATGTGACCCTCATGTCCATGCTGTCTCTGGAGGAGCAGATAGGAGACGAGATCTCCTGTAACTTAAAATGAACCAAAGCTTCCTCCCAGCTTCTCTTTAAGCTGAACTAAACATCAGTTTATCATCATGAAACAAGATAATAAAGCGGAACAAAAACTTCTATCTTCTATTTCTTCTTCTTTTCCGTGTCCCTAAAGAGACAGACGATCACGCTGCAGCCGCCGTCATTGACCCCGCCCCCTCCCCAAGACCGGATCTCCCGGCATCACAACCCTCGGTCTGACTGAGCGCTTCCAGGAGAAATAATTAAATTATGAAAATAATAACGCGTGTTTGGAGCATCGGTTTGGAGGAGCGTCCTCCGATCCTCTCTCTTGTCTGAGCAGACAATCTCTCTCAGTTACTGTACGAGTGAGCGGAGGGCGCCGCGTGACAACCCGCTCATTTAACATAATTCACGGCCCAAATCCGGTCGGGCTGATTCGGTTCCGGTTCCGTCTCCGGTTACAACTCTAGTGCTCAGCCCTGCAGTACCGCATTAAGGCGGAGGTAAATGTGGAGGACGCTCACTCTGACAGATTTGGATGCTGCGCTGGTGCCGCCGTTAAAAACCAAAACTACATTCCACTATAATCGATTATGGCGTACTCTTCTACGATGCAGAATCGTTTATGTCCGCATCCCGATGCATCGATTATTTGATTATTTCATCAGCTCTAGTACGCTAGCAACATGTGGTTTAGTTTATTTAACAAGGCTGTGCTCATAAATAAATGTGCAGCAGGAGCTGTGCTACTTTTCACCTGTTTTACAAAGTCACCCGCCTCGCCTGATGACACATAGTGTGGATAAGATGAGGCATCGTAAAATGAAGAAAATAAAACGTAGATTTCTATATTTACATGCTAGACGAGCTGGAAGCTGTTCAGAAACGTCCTGAAGGATAAACTCAAGGCAGCGTAAAGTAATCCTCAGATGGACCTGGAAGATGCTCCTGGACTAACGGACGACAAAGTTACCTCAGACCACTCTGGAGAGAGAGTAGTTCTATCTACAGGGTTCCTCGTAAATAAACCATTTAATATTTATTGAACTTTAAATATAAAACTGAATTAAACGGTGTGTTGGGGTCCTTTCTTCAGTTGTTTCATCGTAACCCTGAAGAACAGGAAGGCAAAGGGCTATTTTTTGTTGTAGAAGCGCTTAAGGGTAACTATTTCTTTCTGCTCCTCTTTTCCGTTAGAATTCCTTTCACAATCCAGCGCTTGTGTGAGCTACTCACAGAGCCCAAACGGAACTACACGGGAACAGACAAGTTTCTCCGGGGGGTGGAGAAGGTAAGCTGCTGAGCTACAGGTGTGTCTTCTCCTTCAGACTGATGAACGGAAACATTTTGACCTAAGTGATCGTTTCTGTTCCTCTAGAATGTGAGGGTAGTAAGCTGTGTCCACCCGACTGCAGAGTAAGTCATCGATCCGTGTTGATCAATTTGTTACATGAATGCTGTAGTGTCACCGTCTGATGGATGACCTCTGTGTTTGAAACACCAGGAAGAATGGCTGCAGTGCTGTGAACAGGATGAATGGAGTGATGCTTCCAGGAAACACATCAGCGTTTACAGAGAGGTTGTCCTGGAGGGATTTTCAGTCTGACAAACGCTTCTGTATAACCGCCGTTAGTTTGAAAATGATTATTCTTTGTGTGTGTGTGTGTGTGTGCGTGTGTTCTGTTAGGAAAGTGAACGGTCCGGGAACTCCCCGGCCGCTGAACAGACCAAAGGTTTCTCTGGCCACCTCACTAGCAGCTAACGGTCTACCAGACAGCACGGACAACACGGACCTCAACACGGAGCTGGAGGACGGCAAAGACACGAGGTGAAAAGAAGTTTCTCACACACACACACACACACACACACACACACACACACACACACACACACACACACACACACACGCACGCAAAAGTATGTCTGGAGTCTTGATGTTTCTCTTCTACGTGTCTTTTCTCTCCCAGCGAGGTTTCACTTTCAGAAGGCTCCCCTGGGAGTGCTGTGAAGAACAAACACTCTGATGAGGAGGAGGACACAGAAGCCGAACACCAAGAAGTAAAAAGACTAAAGTTCGGCAAGAATGAGGATGAAGATGATGATGATGAGGAGGAGCAGCAGGAGGTGGACACACTTAGGCCTTCAGACAGTGCTTGCCTCTCAAAAGAAGCAGAGGCCATGGTCCAAGAGGATGAAGAGGAGGATAAGAGTTTGAGCGAAGAATCCAGCTCTGCTGCAGCCCCTGAAGAGCAAGGTATGAGAAGTTTCATGGATATGAAACGCCGCTCTTCCTCTGGCTTTGATGTTCATTTAGCACAAAGGATGTAAAGTTGTTCATCTACAAAAGGCCCTACTCCCTTTAGTTTTCAGTCTCCACTTGGGGGCTGACCTGATCCCTGATCAGTGGTGATGTATGGGTGGAAACCCCAAACCTTGATCTGGTTTCTGTAGTGAACAGGGAGATAACTAGTGACCCCATTGGTGCATGTTGGCTTTTGTGTTTAACCCCAAAGTCGGTGACTTCAGCTACTGTTACCATGGTGATTTAGCTGCACTCGAACCATAAACTGTCACAAAGTGAGCTAAACAGCAAGTCTGTGTTCAGCCCCTTGATGAGCATGTGGATAAGCGGTCTAGTATTCATCATCAGACGAAAAATCTTCTTTTTATTCCAGAACCAACAAGCAGCACACAGGCTGAGATGTGCACGGGCTCGGATCTGGAGGAGGAGGAAGACGAGGAGGAAGAGGAGGAGGAGCCGCCGGTGGAGAAGGAGGTGCCATGTGGCTCTGAAGAGGAAGGCAGTGACATGGATCAGCAGGAGGCATCTGAAGGTGTCCAGGAGAGGTCTGAGACCAGCAGGGACAGTGAGGAGAGCAGCAGTGACCCAGTCAGCAGCAGCAGCAGCAGTAGCAGCAACAGCAGCTGTAGCATAGAAGAGGGGGCGGACGGGACTCCCGCTCCCTCCAGCAGTACCACCCAACCTCCTACAGAGGGCGCCGTGGGAAGTGCCACCTCACACACTGGGACCACTGAGGAGCCAATGGAGCAGGACTAGACAGAAGACCCCCTTGAGCCATGTGTGACCATAAACCAGCTCGTCCTTGAATCCAGCCTTACCGTGTCTGGGAGAGAGGACAACGGCACCTCAAACACCTCGTTCCACTTTAGGACACTCCTCCAAAAACAGCTACCTGGCGCTCATGTGGGCTACACATAATTAATTTAATTGTACTGGAATATTATCTCGATCTCTTGGTTTGAAGTTCCCCCCGATAAGAGGGTTGGTTTCTGATTACTTCACGTTTTCTTTCTTGTGTTCCACATCAGCGGTGGTCTGGTCCTGCTCTCGTACCACTCACTCCAGACGTCTGGGCCTTTGATGTAATAGGAAGTCTCTTTAAGCTTGGTGTTGAGACTTGAGAGCCATCTCTTCATTTCTTGGGACAACTGAAATAAAACCACTCTGTTTCCTTCCTTGTACAAATGAAGTCCAATGCTGGTCTAACCCCTCTGGTTCATGAACTTGTTCATGTACACCTGACTTCTGGTTGTAAGGTGGGACACTTCAGTTTTAGTTTTCCTGGTTTGTTATTTTAAGCCTATTTTTACAGTACACTACCAGTCCCGCTGACATGCTCTGATGTGCTACCTTGTAGAGGTGTCCACTTCGCCGAGATGATTTGGTTACATAGAACCATCGTTTGAGAGTTTTCAGCTCAGTCACTTATTTTGGAGTACTTTTTTTTCCTGTCTGCCGGTTGCAGTTTCCAAAACCAGCTGTGAGTACAAAGATGACTGCTTTCTTGGTAATGTGATGTCACCATGTTGTTTCACTGACAGAACACTTCCTGGTTCCAGTTCTACACCTGTTTCTGCAGCTGTACTTTTGATATTTAGGATTTTAAATTTCTGTAAAGTAGATTTTTGTAGATTGTTATACAGTATGTGTTCACTGCCTTTGTGAAACCATATATTATTGTATAATTTCTGTGTATACTCTGAATGCTTTTGCTTTTATTGCGGTATTCAGAACAGCAATAAATGTTAACATTTTTATGCAGGGTGGTCTGTCTTACATCCTGTTTTTCCTCTGTTAGCCATAACAAATCTAGAAAATGTCCATTTGTCTTCTGCTACTGCAGCGTGTGCACGATTTACATGTCGGTAAATTATAAGCAGAAAGTGAATGACAGGAACTTCCCATGTTCTAGCATTTGAGCTTCAGTTTGTAATGCATTTAAAGTTTTATCCGATACAAAATGTCAATTGATCACTGAAATTAATGTAAAAACAATTTTGGTAAATCAGAAAATTAAGTTTTCTGAAAAAGTTCCAGATATACTGACTTTCTACTCAGAAGTCATTTATACCTGAAGCCACCTCAAGGAAGCGCCTTCAGATGGTCGATCCTAAACAAGCTGGCTGAAGGTCTGGTTGAATACCAGAGGTGTGACCAAGTCACTGCTTTGCGAGTCACAAGTCTTTCCGGTCGAGTCCAAAGTCGATGTGGAAGTCCGTCAAGTCCACGCTCTTAACTTTGAATTTACAAGTCACAATCAAGCCATCTGTCCAGCTTCAATTTAATGATGAATAAATCCCAGAAATAAAGCTTCTTAAAGCTTCATTTATTTGCTCAAACAAACAGAAAGTGCAACTGAAACTGATTATAGACAAAGTGCTGCTGCTTTTAGCAGTACAAGATCTAACCCAGAACCATGAATTATTTATGATTTTTGTTCATGTCATTCCACGTTTGTGCTAAATATCAAATATGCTCAGGTCATAATCAAGTCAACATGCAAGTCGATTCAAGTTGCAAGTCATTGGCGTTCAAGTCCAAGTAAAGTCGTAAAACTTTATAGACTTTATCAAGTCAAGTCAGAAGTCACTAAAATAATGATTCGAGTCCACACCTCTGATAAATACTAAACCACAGGCTGATTACTACCTTGCTGCATTGCATTGATGGAGTTATTTATGCACGAGGTGATGAAAAATTGCACAATTTACTATAAAATGTAGAAATAGAGCTGTTTTAGGATGGCAGCAACAACATTTGGCCTTGGTTGTACTAAAACTAGACAAGGAGTTTTTGAATCTCAATGGGATTTTCTACCTGGCCAAAAAAGGTTGAATAAAATACTGGTGGTTAGCTCGTCAGTCCTGTAGGATGCAGAGTATTTATCCAAACAGGCTGTTCAGAAAACGATCTACAATAGTTACGATCGTAGTCATAACATCATTGCAGAAGCACTCTTCATAGTGCCTAAAACGAATCAGAAAAAGCCTCAGCACCAATAACATTTTTGTACTCAAACCAGAGATCTGTGTTTGTAGCATCTTTCTCAAACCCGTCTGGTCCAAAAATGTGGGCAAAAACGGCAATGACTCTAGCTTACTGGGATATTCGTGGAGTAAGATATTGCTTTTTCTTCATGTATTTGATCAAACTAGTCTGCAGAATTGAGATTTTCAATTGCAAAAATACTTCAGAAAACACACAGGCAGAGAGTCTCGGGGCTAACAAAAAGCCAACCCCAGCCCTCCGCCTCTCACCCGGAGCAACTCCAGCAAAGTAGAGTGTCCAACCCCTCTCCAGGTCTCGGGTTCCAGAGCCAATGCAATGTGTCGAGGTGAGTCCGACTATATCTAGCCGGTACCGCTCAACCTCTGCCACAAGCTCCGGCTCCTTCCCCGCCAGCGAGGTGACGTTCCATGTCCCAAAAACTAGTTTTCTTGTCCGGGGATTGGACCGCCAAGGCTCCCGCCTTGGTCTGCCACCCGATTCGCATTGCACCGGACCCTTCATGTTCCTCCTGCGGGTGGTGGGTCCACAGTTGGACGAGCCCATGTATCCGGTTCGGGCTGGGCCCGGCCGGGCCCCATGGGCGAAAGCCCGGCCACCAGGCGCTCGCTCACGGGCCCCAACCCCAGGCCTGGCTCCAGGGTGGGATCCCGGTAACCCTCCGGGCCGGGTACTCCGACTCTTCGTTTTAACCGCCATGAAAGATCCTTCGAACCGTTCTTTGTCTCACCCTTCACCTAAGACCAATTTGTCATGGGAGACCCTACCAGGGGCAGTTGCCGAGGCAAAATCTCGGGCGTGGGAGGAGTTTGGTGAGGCCATGGAGAAAGACTATCGATCGGCTCCAAAGAGGTTCTGGCAAACTGTCCGGCGCCTCAGGAGAGGAAGGCAGCAACTCGCTCACACTGTTTACAGTGGGGATAGGGAGCTGCTGACGTCAACTGAGGCTATAGTCGGACGGTGGAAGGAATACTTTGAGGAGCTCCTTAATCCCACCAATGCGCATTCCGAGGAGGAACCAGAGCTGGGAGGCCTGGGGATGGACTGTCCGATCTCGGGGGCAGAAGTTGCTGAGGTAGTCAAACAACTACACAGCGGCGGAGCCCCGGGGGCGGATGAGGTTCGTCCTGGGTATCTCAAGGCTATGGATGTTGTAGGGCTGTCATGGTTGACACGTCTCTACAACATTGCGTGGTCATCGGGGGCAGTTCCTAGGGAGTGGCAGACCGGGGTGGTGGTCCCCATCTTTAAGAAGGGTGACCTGAGGGTGTGTTCCAACTATAGGGGGATCACACTCCTCAGCCTCTCGGGAAAGGTCTACGCCAAGGTACTGGAGAGGAGGGTCCGATCGATAGTTGAATCTCAGATTGAGGAGGAGCAATGTGGTTTTCGTCCTGGCCGTGGAACTGTGGACCAGCTCTATACCCTTGCAAGGGTGATGGAGGGGGCATGGGAGTTTGCCCAACCAATCCACATGTGCTTTGTGGATTTGGAGAAGGCTTATGACCGTGTCCCCAGGGGCACCCTGTGGGGGACGCTCCAGGAGTATGGGGTGGGTGGCTTTCTGTTAAGGGCCATTCAGTCCCTTTACCAGAGGAGCGTGAGTTTGGTCCGCATAGCCGGTAGTAAGTCGGACCTGTTCCCAGTGAGGGTTGGACTCCGCCAGGGCTGCCCTTTGTCACCGGTTCTGTTCATCACTTTTATGGACAGAATTTCTAGACGCAGCCGTGGTGTGGAGTGTGTCGAGTTTGGTGGCAGGAGAATCTCGTCTCTGCTTTTTGCGGATGATGTGGTCCTCCTAGCTTCATCCAGCTCTGACCTTCAGCTCTTGCTGGGTAGGTTCGCGGCCGAATGTGAAGCGGCTGGGATGAGGATCAGCACCTCCAAATCTGAGACCATGGTTCTCGACCGGAAAAGGGTGGCTTGCCACCTCCGGGTCGGGGGAGAGGTCCTACCTCAAGTGGAGGAGTTTAAGTATCTCGGGGTCTTGTTCACGAGTGAGGGTAGGAGGGATCGGGAGATCGACAGGCGGATTGGTTCGGCGTCTGCAGTGATGCGGACGCTGAGCCGATCTGTCGTGGGGAAGAGGGAGCTGAGCCAGAAAGCCAGGCTCTCGATTTACCGGTCGATCTACGTCCCAATCCTCACCTATGGTCATGAGCTTTGGGTAATGACCGAAAGAACGAGATCGCGGATACAAGCGACCGAAATGAGTTTCCTCCGTAGGGTGGCCGGGCTCAGCCTTAGAGATAGGGTGAGGAGCTCGGACATTCGGGAGGGACTCGGAGTAGAACCGCTGCTCCTCCGGATCGAAAGGAGCCAGTTGAGGTGGTTTGGGCATCTGGTAAGGATGCCTCCTGGACGCCTCCCCGGGGAGGTGTTTCGGGCATGTCCTGCCGGCAGAAGGCCCCCGGGTCGACCCAGGACACGTTGGAGAGGTTACATCTCCAATCTGGTCCGGGAACGCCTTGGGGTCCTGCCGGAGGAGCTGGTGGACAAGGCCGGGGAGAGGACGGCCTGGAGCTCCCTAATTGGGATGCTGCCCCCGCGACCCGGACCCGGATAAGCGGAGGAAGACGAAGACGAAGACGAAGACGAAGACTTCAGATTAGATGTAACTTTTTTCAAAAGCAAACATTTGAAAAGTTAAGGCAGCTTTATTTAAGTGTCTGTTTGGTTGGTATGGTGACTATTAACTATGATCACTTGTCTCATGTTCTGAAGGCTAATTGCAATTAACTGCTGTCGAGCAAATTGGCAATAAGATGTGATTATTCCACATGAAATATCAATCTGATTGATCTTTGATCCCACTCAAGTGTATGGTTATTGTCCCCAGCAATTCTGAAAACAAACTGACGCCCTTGAGAAATAGGTTTTCCCTCCTGGAACGGGTTTTATTTGCCTTATTTCTCTTTACAAGAAACAGAATAGCAGAAATCACTGCTGTTCGGTTCTTTTTCCTAGTTTTACGCACCAGAGGGCAAAGCTGTTCCAGGACTTACGTACATCGTCTGCACACCTGTTATGGGGGTGAGGGTTTTCTTCCTGTGAATCCATGTTATTATCTGTCACTGCTGTCTTTTGCTGGCTGAAATTTACCCAAGGCCGGATTATAATATGGGCAAACTGGGCACAGGCCCAGGGGCCCACCGCCACAAGGGGGCCCAAGCGAGCAGCAGTCTTAAATTTTTTTTTGTGCAGCAATCTCAACGTTGGAGAAAAAAGTTGACAAGTAATTAAAATTGCACCCACATTTTCTAAGTTAACACACATCTCTTTTAACAACGGTAGTTTCTGCATCTTTACTGTTGCCCTGCTCCAGTCCACTGCCCCTGCGCAGCGACCTCAAACTCTCTGATGCGCCTGCAGCCAGAGTTCCTGCTGATCTAAACATTGAAAGAATCATTTCATTTTCTGTTCCTCACTTCTAATTACCTTCAATGGTGTGTGTTTGTTGCAACCACCAGGTACAAAAAAATAACTTGTTTTTATTTGACTATTTTTTCTGTCCTGTCTCTGTTTATTGTCTTCCCGCATCTCCTCTCAATCCTAAACAAAAACTGCTACCTGGCTTCATATATATTCACCTCATGAATTACCTTTGAACTGCAGTTCAAAAAGATCTAATGACAGCAAAAATAGCCGAGTGTACTCCATGCACAGACAGCACCAGTGCGGTGAATTCATCGGAGGACGAAACAGGTGATGCGCTCCGCAGCAGCGAAACGCATCAGACACAAATAAAAGA